GCATTGAGTGGCAATCATGTTTGGTCTAGAGTCTAATTTCAGCATGCTTCTCCCATCCTGGGAGGATTCTTCCAACACCCTTTGGTGCTCCCTTCTCTATCTGAGCTGCCTTTTTTTCCCCTAGCATGTGTGGCTGGCCTCCAAGCCATGGAGCAAACCTCCTGGTACTAATCTCGGCTATTCTTGGGTGTCAGTCTCCTATTTTGTTACTTTATGTTCCTCAGATGAATGCAATCTTTCTATGTCTGTCCCTCTCTTTCTGACTCATTTCACTTAGCATGATACTTTCCATACCACGTGTATGTAAATTTTGTGACTTCATCTTTTCTAACAGCTACGTAGTACTTCATTGTGTAGATGTACCTAAGTTTCTTTTATTTTTTATTTTATTTATTTATTTATTGAATCACCGTGGGAAAGGTTACAAAGCTTTCAGGTTTAGGTCTCAGTCATGCAAATATCAAACACATTTCCCTTTACCAATACTTATTTTTTACCATGAAGAATCCCAATAAAACCCCACCCCCCACCTCTCCCAGTCCCTGTGGGGCAGATGAATTCTAGTTAACACTCTATCTGCTTTGATTAGATTCATTGTTTCAATAAAAGATTCACCACTATTATTTAGTGTTTAACCCCCCCCCCCCCACCCAAATCAGACATGCTGAAAAAGCATTGTGAAGTGATTTGCTTTCTACAGCTGGGTTCAAGAATTAAATGTTGGTTTTGGATTTCTGCTATTTTACTTATTGACCCTGGAAGTATTTCTACTGAAAGTCAGATAGTTAAGAAATTGGTTTCTGTGCTTTGGAGTCGTGGCCGTGCTGGAGAGCCGCTAGTGGGGGGCAACTGGTGGCCTCGGTAGGGCGTGAAGGGCGGACCAAAACACCCCCCTTCCCATGAGGTTTTAGTCGCCCCCACCCCCCCAGCTCATACCTGCTGTCCACAAGGCTCCCATGCGGCCGCCATCTTTCTTTCCAGAGAGGAGAAGGCGACTGGGGCAACACCCTTTCCCCTCCGGACAGACATGATGGCCTGGATTAACGCATAGTCCGTTCACTTTTCTGCTCCAAGCTGCCGGGTTCTGCATTAAGTCCTTGTGCTTCTGGGGCCGTGGCCGTGCTGGAGAGCCGCTCGCGGGGGGCAACTGGTGACCTCAGTAGGGCGTGAAGGGCGGACCGGAACGCCCCCCTTCCCATGAGGTTTTAGTCGCCCCCACACCCCCGGCTCATACCTGCTGTCCACAAGGCTCCCATGTGGCCACCATCTTTCTTTCCAGAGGGAGGAGGGTGGAAGGGAGCAACACCCTTTCCCCTCCGGGCAGACATGATGGCCTGGATTAACGCATAGTCCTTTCACTTTTCTGCTCCAAGCTGCTGGGTTCTGCATTAAGTTCTTGTGCTTCTGGGGCTGTGGCCGTGCTGGAGAGCCGCTCGTGGGGGGCAACTGGTGACCTCGGTAGGGCGTGAAGGACGGACCGGAACGGCCCCCTTCCCATGAGGTTTTAGTCGCCCCCACACCCCCGGCTCATGCCTGCTGTCCACAAGGCTCCCATGTGGCCGCCATCTTTCTTTCCAGAGAGGAGAGGGCGAATGGGGCAACACCCTTTCCCCTCCAGCAGACTTGATGGCCTGAATTAACGCATAGTCCGTTCACTTTTCTGCTCCAAGCTGCTGGGTTCTGCATTAAATCCTTGTGTTTCTGGGGCTATGGCCGTGCTGGAGAGCCGCTCGTGGGGGGCAACTGGTGGCCTCGGTAGGGCGTGAAGGACGGACCAAAACACCCCCCTTCCCATGAGGTTTTAGTCGCCCCCACACCCCCGGCTCATACCTGCTGTCCACAAGGCCCCCATGCGGCCGCCATCCTTCTTTCCAGAGAAGAGAGGGCGACCTAAGTTTCTTTAACCAGTCATCTGTTCTCGGGCACTCAGGTTTTTTCCAGATTCTAGCTATTGTAAAGAGTGCTGCAATGAACAAACAGGTGCAGATATCACTTCGACTATATTTTTTTGCCTCTCTGGGATATATTCCCAGCAGTGGTATTGCTGGGTCAAATGGGAGCTTAATTTCTAATTTTCAGAGGATCGTCCATACTGTTTTTCAAAAGGGCTGAACCAGTTGACATTCCCACCAGCAGTGAAGGAGGGTCCCTTTCTCACCACATCCGCGCCAGCACCGGTTGCTTTTGTTCTTTTGGATGTGGGTGAGTCTCTGCGATGTGAGATGATATCTCATTGTGGTTTTGATCTGCATCTCCCTGATGATTAGTGATGTAGAGCATTTTCTCATGTGCCTTTTTGCCATTCGGATTTCTCTGAGAAAGTTTCTGTTCATTTTGTTGCCCCATTTTTTGATGGGGTTGGATGTTTTCTTCTTGTGGAGTTCAACCTGTACTTTGTATATCCTTGATATCAACCCCTTGTCGAATGTCCAGAAAGGGATAATAATTGAAAAATAGCTAGGCTGCACTCTGGAGTGGAGAGCAATGAAAGAGAAGCGGGCAGGGTCAGATCACCTGCTACAATCCCCCTCTATGTCTTTAATCATATGGTCAGGTTAGAGAAGCAGAGGCAGTTAGAAGACTTAATTTACACCTCTGTTTGCCTTCATTGACTTCAGATGATTGGTTTGTGGCTCTGCTCCCATACATGAAAAGGATGAGTAGATGTCCCAGAGTTCTTGAGTGACCCTCATTATGTCCAAGCTCAGATTTTAGGTAAGGCTTTGCTGGAAGGAATTGCCAGGCAAGGCGTCAGCCCTGACTGTTGCTGAATGCAGAGGGCCTCGTGGCTGTAGATTATATAAGTACAAATAAGGCGGCCATCATAGATAGTAAGTCACATGAAAAATAGGACTGTGATCATGGATTATGTGCCTTGCTTGCAATTATCAGGGCAGAGAGAAAAAGAATTACCACCCCTCTTGGATGAGCAAACAGGGTGAAGGGCTGGGAGACACATGATATTTACGATTTGCTTCTGGCTCTCTGTTCAGGGATCATGTGCAGTACTGGGGATCTAGCCTAGGTCAGTCACATGCAAGGCAAGCGCTTTAACCCCTGTGCTATCTCTCTGACCCAAATTTAACAACATAGATAAGGAAGAATTAGAGCGTAAGACTTCAAGTAATTAAGACAGGTGCAAGGTTTATATCTAGAGGTGAGGAATGGGACTTAGGGCAGAGGAGGGGTGAGTGTGGGGTGTGGGGTGGGTGGTGGATCTCACATGAGAAGGGGATGATTTATATCACCAAGTCTTACCCTCGATAACTGTCCTGCCTTGAGAGAGGTTACCCTAATAAAATGATTATCTCTGGAGAAGACCAACATCTGGGTTGCCTCTTTTCTTTAAGGTTATGGTAGCTTCAAGTTATGGTAGACAACACTGATGTGTCAGGGTAGAAACTGGAAAAGGGGGGCTGAAGTGATAGTACAGCGGGTAGGGCATTTGCCTTGCATGCAGTCAACTTGGATTCAATCCCTGGCATCCCACAGAGTCCCACAAGTACCGCCAGGAATAATTTCTGAGCGCAGAACCAAGAATAACTCCTGAATATCTCTGGATGTGACCCAAAAAGAAAAAAAGAGAAACTGGAAAAAGCCTATAAGAACATCTGTAGGGGGACAGGGTAGGGCATGATCAGTCCTACAGAAGAAGAGGGGAACAGCTAGTAGCCATAGCGTATTAAGATAATTACCTCCTTGAAGCATTTATTGTATGCCAGGATTATATCACACACTCCCCCCCCCCCCCCATTTGGTTGGTTTGGGGTTACACTGAACGGTGCTCAGCAGTCACTTGCTCTGATCGACCATATGTGGGCTGGGCCAGGTACTTTTAAGCAGTCTTTTCTTGAAAACTCCTTGTGAGACTCAAAAGTTCAGGCTTCAAGCTATCAGTCCACCTGGGGGAGGGTCCTCCACACCCCAATTTGTCCTGCCTACGGGGCATGCTCAGTCCTGGTTCCTGTGTTGAGCAATGACTTGCCGCAGGTTTGCTCAGTGGCTGAGCTGGAATTTGAACCCAGGTCTAACACCAAAGCGTGTGGCGCCGACTCCCTTTCTCTGCTACCTTCCCTTCTTCAAACCCCAGCCACGGGCGTCCTCCTTCCTAACGAGCATTGGCTCCGGGAGCCCCTTCTGGGGGAGGAAAGTGCTTTTTCTAGCCCAGGATGGCCTCTGTGTACTCGGGCTCCTGCAGCCCGGGTTCACTGGGCCCGCAGCTGTGCCCTTCACTGTCCTTGCACCGGAACCCCGAGGTGGCCTCCCAGCCGCAGACACCTCCAGGAGACCACATGCTCTTGGCTCGTCCGCCCGCAGACGAATTTCGCTCCTCTCCCTTTCCAAATCGCCTACCTTTCTATAAATAATCGTTCTCCTCCCTGCCCTCCGGTCGGGGAGTAGTTTCGTCACCGAACCGAGCACACACACACGGGCACACACGCGCCACTCCCCGGGCGGGCGGGGTGGGTGGGGAGAGGGCAACTTGGATGACCTTGCCAGGGTGCCCGGATCAGCGAGCCCCCAGCCCCGACAATTATTCCGTCCCCGCCCGCCTTCCTCCCGGGGCTGCCCTTCCCGGCGCGCCGCCCCGGTCCCCGTCCGGCCCCGTTCCGCCGTGCCCAGCCTCGCCCGCCCATCCCGGGGCCAGCCCGGAGAACTTCGGTCCCCGCGTCGAAACTCTCCGGCGGCGGCGGCGGGCAGGACTGGGCATGCTCAGTGGCGGGGACGGGTCCGGGAGGCGCGGGAGCCGCGACTGAGGCGGCGCGGTGGGGGGCGCGGCGGGGCGGGCGGCGGGGGCGGCCGCGCGGGGGGCGCGCCCGGGCTCCCGGGCTCCGCGCCCGGAAGCGGCGCGCTCCGGCGGGCGCGGCGGGCGCGGCGGGCGCGGCGGGCGCGGCGGGCGCGGCGGGGCGGGCGCGCGGGGGGCGGGGGCGTCGCGGGCGGAGGCGGGGAGGAGCGCGCGTCTCGCCATCCCCCGGCGCCGGCTCTGCGGCGCGAGTCGGAAGCCGCAGCGAGGATCCGGGGGAGTCGAGGCGCCCGGGCATGAGCTCCCGCGCGGCTGCCCAGTGAGCCCCGCCGCGCGCTGCCCGGCGGCCCCCCGGCATGGGCGAGCGCGGCGGGCAGCCCGAGCGTCCGAGCCTGCACGGCGCGGGGGCTGCGGCGGCCGACGCGGGCGCTGCCGCCGTGAACGGGCTGCTGCTGCTGCACAACGGCTTCCACGCGCCGCCCGCGCCCCCGCCCCAGCTCTCGCCGCAGCCGCCGCCCCCTCAGCACGACTCGCCGGCCAAGAAATGCCGGCTGCGGAGGAGGATGGACTCCGGGAGGAGGAACAGGCCGCGTGAGTCCTCCCCGGAGGGGCGCGGGGGCGCGGGGCGAGTCGGGCGCGGGGCCCGGGCGGCGCGTGGACGTGCCGGCGCGCTCCGGGCGGGGGGACGGGGCGCCCCCGGGGGCCGGCTCTTGCCCCCGCGCCGAGCCCGCTCAGACCCCACCGACTGTGCGGTGGGTCGAAGGGACGGGCCCCTCTCCGGGGTCGTGGCTTTGCGTAAAATCCAAGGCGCTGGCCGTTTTCCTAATTGGCCGGTGTATGTGCGGGCGGTGGGGGGCAAACACGTGGGGGAACCTAGGGGGAACCGGGGCTGGACTGCCCCTCTGGTCCCGGGGTCCCCCCCCCCCCCCCGCCCGAGCTGTTCTGCCTGCGGCAGGCGCGGCCAGCCGGCCCCTCTGAATTGCAGAGTGGCCGCCCGCACCTGGGCTCGGCCGGCGACCGCCAGAGCTGGAGGCGTGTAGTTTGACAACCCCCCGAAATCACAGCCTATTAGACGCTGCTTCCCCGCGGCCAATCAGAGGGCCCGCCAGGCGGGACACACCCACTGATACCATGTGGGCCGGAACTTTGTGGGACCAATGAGGAACGGAGACGGGCCCTTCCCCCGCCCCCCGCCCCCGCCCGGGAGCTTGAGTTGTAGGTTTGTAAATGCACAGCCCAGAACACTGAAACGCGTTATTTCACAACCTAAACTTTGCATATATACTGTTAGTTTGTGAGGAGGTACATTCCTCGTGGGACGCTCTGGGATGTAAATCTGTAGATCGAGTTCACAACTTTTTTTTTGCTCATCTCAGCTGAGCCTTATTCAACTTGGGTCCCTCTCTCATTTCTTTAATGAAGCTTATAAAGGGCGAAAAGGAAAGTAAGTAAATGCATTCAAATAAGCGATTGCAATCAGACTCGCAATTTTTCCTTTTTCTTTTTCTTTTTTCTTCTCTCTCTTTTCACCCCTCCTCCCAGGTGATTCTTTTTAATAAAGGGGGCATGATTAGATAGGTTTTCTATTTGCAAGTATTTGGTGGCAAACAACACACTTTTTCTGTTTGTCTCTTTGTCAACTTAGACTCTTAACTTTCCTGTATTCAGCTCTCACTGGAATGTGGAGACTGGTAATTGTATTTTGCAGGTCAGAAAAACTTAGTTTGAAAATCAAGATCTTGTCTGGAAGATGGAAGTGACACAGGATGGAACAGCATTTTGTGGTTAAAGGAAAGGCATGCAGCACCTGAGCTTCTATTGGTTGTATTTTGTTTTTGAGAGGGGTGTGTGTGTGTGTGTGTGTGTGTATGTGTGTGTGATTGATTGTGCCCAGGAGAACACACAAGCATGGAAAGTACTCTGCCACTGAGCCACATCTCACTCACTACTCATTTTACTTTTTGTTTTTGAGATTTGTTAGACAATGACATTACTTATGGTTTATTGACCTATTTTTATTCTTTGAAATCACAGTTATTCAATCTCCATTAACAAATTATATCAGAGTTCCCAATGTAAATGGTTAAAATATAACAAAGAAGATCAATATTTGAGTTTTTTGTTTAGCAGTGCTAACTTCTTGCATGGTCTGTGTTTATTTCAGGCTATGACACTTTGAAATAATTTTGAAACATTGAAAAATACACTCTCTTAAGGATGGCTTAGAGGCAGAGGAAACATAACCTTGTACCTTGCACTTACAAACCTTCAAGAATGGTTACTTTAGAATACAAGAAAATATAAGCTAAAGCCTTTGTGCTTTGTGGCAGGATTAGCATTTTGTGTGTTTAAAAACAACAACAAACATCAGTTATCTTTTCTTTAGTGATCATATTTCTTATTTTCTTGGATTTTGGGGCCACATCTGGTTGTGCTTGGGGGCTACTTCCAACTTGACACTGTGGTTCTGGGAATAGAACCTGCAAGAACAAATGCGCTATCACAACCATATCCATGGCCTTATTTATAAACCTAAAAGATATTAATAGAAGTGAACTTTTCATTATTTTACTGTTTTATTTTCTCAAATTCAAACAAATGTTTCTGAAATAAATTTTGTGCATTCTGAGTCACATGCTCTGGGGTTGCTTCTAAGCTCTCCTAGTTAAAGCTAGATTTAATATTTTTGTACTTTGCATATTATTTTTTGTCTTTGATTTTGGGCCACACCTGGCAGTGCTCAGGATTTTTTCCTGTCTCTGTTCTCAGGGATTACTCCTGGCGGGGAAAGGGGACTATATGGGGTGCTGGGATCGAATTTGGGTTGGGTGAGTGTAAAGCAAGCATCCTACCCACTGTATATAATTGCTCCAGCCCTATACCTTGCATATCAACATTAAAACATTTTCATAAAAAAAAATTACTGAGAAAATATTGCTGAATCAGTTGCTATCTAGATACTCTTAAGACATATCTACTTATTCCTATTTTTCGATGATGAGTAATTATCTAAGGTGAGTAATTATTAGAAAATATTTGGGTACTTTAAATTAAATTTTAGAGAATGTAGGTGGTGAAAGCACCAGAGCTGGAGAAATGATTAATTAATCTTACTTAACTAGTTTCAACATCAGACCCTGTTTCTGTTTAGAGCAGGGGAGTGCCAGGACAACTCGATACCACTTCTCAGGCAGGCATCTGGAATGTATATGTGGGTTGGTGTGTTTCTGTTTGGTAATGTTTTGGGTAGAGTTCAGTACAGCTTTAAAAAACAAAAACCTGTTAGGGCCAGAGGAGATGGTGCAGGAGGTACGACACTGTCTTGCATATGTCTGTGGCAGCAATGACTGGTTCGAATCTGGGCGCCACATATGGGCCAAATACCACCAGGTAATCCTGAGCATAGAGCCAGGAATACCTGAGCATTGCTAGGTGTAGCATCAAAACTGGTCTTTCCCCCCTCCCCCCCAAACAACAACAATCACCACAAACCACCACTGGTTTGATAGCAAAGAGGTAGCTCAATAGGGTGAGTGCAGGCTTTGCGCTGGACTCCATCCCTCCTCCACATGGTCTGTCAAGGTTGAAACTCACTTCTGAGAACTGCTGGGTGCCACTACAGTCCCCACCAAGAAAGGCAACAATGTTTATAAAACTATGAATAGAAGGAAACAAGCAGATAGGAAAATTTTGGTTATTTTTAAAAAGCCAGAACCAGACTTCTTAGGCAATTAAATTTGCTAAGCCAAGAAAGACAAATATCACTCACTATTTCCTTCTGAAGTACTACTGTCCTTTTTTTTTTTTTTTTTTTTTTTTTTTTGCTTTATCGGGTCACACCTGGCGATGCTCAGGGGTTACTCCTGGCTTTGCACTCAGGAATCACTCCTGGCAGTGCTCAGGGGACCATATGGGATGCTGGGAATCAAATCCGGGTCGGCCGTGTCCGAGGCAAACGCCCTACCTGCAGTGCTATCACTCCAGCCTGTATTGTCCCATTCTTGTCCTCAGAAAGCTTTTTCCAAGACTCATTACTCATTCCAAGACTCATTCGTCAAATCGTATCGGTAACTTTGCCATGGTGCCATGTTATCAGAGCCATCTGGAAATGGAATGAAATGGCCAGGATATCTCTCAGTGTTTCTTATACTTTTGAAATTCCAGAACTAGCGGTTAACCTGCATGGTTTTTGTGCTAGTTGTTTCTTTGGCCTTGTGACTTCCATTTCATTAAACATTTTATTTGCCTGGTGCCAATTGTTTCATTTGTATTGTCTTATCTCTCCAGGTAAATTGGAAATTTGATTGCAGGTTGTTATTTTCTCTAATGCCTTAACACCGTATGAACAAGAATTTTGATTGATGCCATAGAAAAATGGTACAAGTGACATCACCAATACCACCTCAGTGAGTCCTACCATAGACTTTGGTAAAAATTGATAGGAGATTTCTTTGGTCTACTCCTGGTGTCAGTTTTAGAAGCAGACCTAGGTAGCTATTGAGTTAGCTTATCTCCCCAACACAGTTGACCTTTGAACTACTGGAGGGGTGTGTGTGTGTGTGTGTGTGTGATTTGAAGTATGCTGACATCCACCATTCTCCATGCAAAAATTGCATATACCCTCCCTTTTTTGGGGAGGGAGCACACTTGGCAATCATAGGGGTCTCTCCTGTCTCTCTGTGTAGGGGCTCCTCCTAGCTTTGTGCTCAGGGATCACTCTAGGTGATACTGGGGGACTGTGTGTAGGGTTGAGGATCAAACTCAGGTTGGTTACATGCAAGACAAATGCTTTACCTGCCTACTCTCTTTCTGGCTCCTATGATCAACTATATTTTGAAACTAATACTGTGAGTGTTTAATGTTCTATAATGTTGTCATTTACCCCCTGAAGAGCTTGAGTTTGAACTGCAGCTAGATGACCAAGGATCAGTTATTTCACCTTCATGCTTCAGTTTCCTAACTGAAAGAGAAAGAAAACTGCACTCTGTCCTTGAGTGGGTTAAATGAGAAAATATATAAGTGAGGATTAAATGAGAAAGGAACTTAGATTACCGTTTGATACATACCATTGATTCAGTAAATGCCAGCTGTTATTGGTACCATACACAAAATCATCTGCTTACTCAGGACTGAATAAGACAACTGAACTTGCAGACTAACTCATACTTTCTTTGGAGTGGGGTCTAAAGGAGGGGTTGGCTTATACCCTGTGATGCTCAGGGGCTGTTCCTGAGTTTGTGCTCAGGAGTGACTCCTGGTGCTCTTTGGGGAACCATATGTGGTACCAGGGATTGAACCAGAGCAGGCAGCCTGACCCACTATTTCTCCGGTCCTCTGGTATATAACTTTTGATGCAATTGTGAATATATGTTTTCATATATTGGGTTTTTGGGGCGACACTCAGTGGTTCTCAGGGGTTACTCCTGACTCTGCACTCAGGAATTACTCCTGGTGGTGCTTCCGGATGCCAGGATCAAAACCGGGTTGGCTGTGTGCAAAGCACGCACCCTATCTGATGTACTGTCTCTCCAGACTAAAATTGTGGATGCTTAAAAGTAAGAAATAGATGATGCTTAAAATCCTGGCTATAG